AATCAGAAATTGTATTCTTAATTTCTTCTTCCCTTTTGTTGATAGTTTCTTTGTCCTTTTTCATGCTGATGTACTTTGCAGTAAGTTCCTCGTAGTTTCTCTGTAGTTTTTTGCAATTCTCTCTGAGCTCAATGAGCTTCCTTAGAACTGTTGTTTGGAACTCAGTATCTGATAGTTTACTTGCCTCTATTTCATTTAGTTCTCTTTCTGGGGATTCTTCCTTTCCCTTTGACTGGGGGCGTATTTCTTTGTCTTCCCATTATTTGTGAGACTCTTCTTTTTTGCTTCTGCTTCTTAAATTGATTTTTACTTCCTGATTTTGTGGTGTGAACTTCTATGGTAGAAGACCTGTAAGAGTCAGTGGTACAATCTCCTTGATCTCCTGAACTTGATTCTCTTGGGATGTTTTTTATGCCATTTATGTTGGCTCTCTAGAAGTAATTGGGTTTTGATTTTTGTTTGGTCATTCTTTGGAGGGTCCTTCCCTCCAGCTGGTTGACTGAAGGTCACGCTGCCCACCACGTCTTGTGTGTTTTTGAGCAGATGCTGCCAGAACAAAACCACGAAGCCCAGGAAACAAACCCACATCCACAAAAATAACTCCCCCTGCAATCCCACTATCAACAACAGCCAATGAACCAGTATTACTAAGGCTGTAAAAAGATTAAGACTATTATAAAAAAGGAGAGAAATAAACTATTAGTATAAAATCTAATGACTTAATGTGCACAAACTTGATGGACCCGAAATGAATGTTAAAAAGCTATGTAGTAAAGAAAATATCACAAATCATGGAGAAGACCACAGTAGATTTCGTCTTGGTGGCCTCTAGTATTTAACACTGTATTTTCTTTCTGGATCCGCCTCTGGTGATGTCAGATGTTGACCCCACCTGACCTTAGGCAGTCGGTTCAAGACTTCCAGGAATCTACTGTCTGTGGCTCTCTCCTTCAGTTGTTAAGCTAGTCACTCTGCACTCAGCAGTCAGGCTTAGGCACCACAGGGAGAGACAGAATCCCTCCTGGTGTCAGGGCTATTGTTTCCCCTCAGGTTGCTCAGAAAGGAGGGGTCTGCCTGAGCACAACTGTTGCCGTATGAGGGATGACTCAGCACCAGTATCCCGGTGGCCACCCTCTCAGTTCTCTCCCCAAAGTGTCCGTCTCTAGTCTCTCCTCAGGCATTTCTAGCCCACTCTGCCTCCGTCTTTGCCAGAGCCCAGGATAAGAAGCTGCAGATGAAAATTTATGCTTTGGTCCTTTAAAAGGCTCTTTGTGTCTCCAGCCGTCCATCTCTGTCAGAGAGCAACCCTGCTGCTTTTCACAGCTGGCTGTAATCTGTGTACTTTCGGGGCTCTAGTACTGCAGCCTAGGGATCCCTGCTTCTGGTTTAGACCCTGCCCTTCTCAGGGGGATCCAAGTGGCTGCTTAAATATCCCTCTGGCATTGCTGCCTGTGAGCACCCAGCCAGCCATCATGAGTCTCCACCACACTCCCTAGTGATCAGGTTGTGCTAAAGATGATTCTCCTGTCTGTCCAAGGTTATCAGGCTTCCCTCTCACTATTGTTCAGTTGTTTGTTATGGATGACTTCTCCACTATTTAGTTGTAATTCCAGATTGGTCCTGGGAGGAGGTCAGTGTGACTTCCATTCACTCCTCTGCCACCTTGCAGTCTTGTTAAGTTAGTTTTTGTATTATGTGATGTAATAAATGATTACAAATATTTACACCATTTTTGAAAGAGAAGATCATAAAGGAGTAAAGTTCTAAATGCAAAAGATAATACTACAAAGTAGAATATAATATAGCCAGATATCTTTATGAACTATTAGTGAGGAATTATTTCTCAAACTAAATTCCCAAATTATTGTAGAAACTCTAGAGTCTTATTTAGAAATAGCCTATGGTAGATTCTTCCCCCATTCTCTATGCACACATGCCCAGTTCCAGTTAACCAGCAGGCCCCTGAATATGCTGATGCCCCTCATTCCTGATCTTTTCTTTTAAGGGCTGGCCCCTCCCAGGGCCTGTCACTAAGTCAGAACCTTCCAGACAGCGGTTCTGGTTTTCTACCCCTTCGAGGACAGGAATGGGTATGTCCAAGTTGGGGGCAGGCAGCACAAACTGTTCTACTGTTTCACATATTGTTGCTTCTGTACCACAAACTGTGTAAAATTGATGTACTAAAAATATCATTAAAATTAAAAGTGAAATTTGTTGAGTTTTACTTTATAAAATTAAGGCTTTCTCTTCTATGAAAAAAACTGTGTGGAAAACTGAGGGAAGTATTTAGAGTACTAATAATAAAGTGTATTTTTATAGTTTATACATTTATACACAAAGTAATATGGGTTGATCTTTAAAGAGTTCTGAGTTAAACAGGGTAATAAATGAAGAACACATATAATACCTATTGTTTTAATTAAAGTTACCCTCAAACTCACTGGTAACTAAGAACAATGCAAATTAATTTAAGATCTCATTTTACATCATCAAATCAGCAAAATCAAAAAGATACAGAAGCTCAGTATTTGCGGGATATGGGAGAAATGAGAATCCCTATGCACTGATAGTGGTGAAGTAATTTTAGAGATTTTTGTGGCAATATTTTGTCTAATGATGTGTATGTTTTGACCATACAATTCCATTTCTGAATATGCATAATAGAAAATATGTACCCAGATCCATGAGGAACATAAATAAAGGTTTTTATCATAGCACTTGAACAGTAGTGAGGTGTTGAAGTAGCACACTGGATGTTTCTCCCTATGGGAACACATAAGTAAAATGTCCAGATATACACTATCAGATTCTACGCAGCAGGTGGAACAACAGAATAGACACAGTAATTTAGAAGGTCTTTAAAAAACTGCTGAATAAATTATGTTAATAAATGACATGTACAGTACAATACCTTTTGTTGAAATTAAAGTTGTATGTATCAAACAATACCACACTTTATAAGAACATATAGAAACAGAAGAATAACACTTTAGCACATTTGAATGTGGGGATGAAAAGAAAATTGGAATAAGTAAATCAAATATTCCATACTTTACAGAGGAAGTCTGCTCAGACTTCCATGAGCCATAAACAGAAAAGATTATTAACCCAACCATGTGCGCTTTAGATTCCAAGGGCAACACACACACACGCGCGCGCGCACACAAATGTTTAATAATGCTCCAGAGTACAGACTGAATTAGCATAATGGGTTGCACTATGGGTAATTCCTTCTCAGTAAAATAGTGCAGCTGCTGTGGAAGATAGTTTGGCAGTTCCTCTAAAAACTAAACATATGGCTCAGCAATTTCACTCCTAGGTATGTAACAAAAGTAATTGAAAGCAGGGATTCAAACAGATACCTGTACACAAATGTTCATTTCAGCTTTGTTCTCAACAGCCCCAATTTGTAAACAACCCAAATGTGCATTAACAGATAGATGAATAAACAACATGTGCTATTTCCATACAATGGAATATTACTCAACCATGAAAAAAAAAACAAAACGAAGTTCTGACACAGGCTACAACATGGATCAACCCTGAAATATGCTAAGCAAAATGACCCAGATACAGAGGGCAATATATCGTATAAGTATCTATACTGGGCAAATTCATAGAAACAGAAAGTTGAACAGTGGTTAGCAGGAGCTGGAGAAAGGATAGGTACAGGGTTTCTGTTTGGGGTGATGGAGAATTTTTGGAAATAGATAATGGTGATGGTTGCACAACACTGAATGTAATTAATGCCACTAAAATGTATACTTTAAAATGGTCAAAATGGCAAATTTTGTTACAGATATTTTACCAAATTTTTAAAAGTTGACTTAATTAACTAACATACAGACATGAAGGAATCCAACAGAAACAGTCTCTCTTAAAGTGCTGGGATCTGGCAACCATCAGTGATTTTAGGTCTAAACTGACATGTACCCTTAGCTGATTTTCAACAATCAGTATAAAGAATCTTTTAATTGTTTAAGTGATTTTCATTCTTCACTAGCAATAAAACTTTAATTGTTCTTCTGCTCATTTATTCCTTTGCAAATACTCCCCAAATGTTTATTATGTAAAGTTTTGTACTAAGTCCCAGAGATGAAAATAAAGAAAAGAACAAGCCAAGCACAGTTCCTGCCTTCATGGGTTCACCATCTAATGAGTATGAGATACATTAAATAAATAATTACAGAAATATTTAATTAACTATAATTGTAGCCATGAAAGAAACTATACCCAACTAAGATGCAGTCATCAGCTGGCTTTATGATCTTGGACCTTGTCTTTCTCAAAACAGAAGGTAGATCTAAATGATTTAAGATCCTTTTAATTAAAAAAATTTATAAATCTAAAAGTCTAAAACTTTGCTTCCAGAGTCACTTTGTTAGTATATTCACATTTATAGAATCTTAGCAAGGCAATACAATACCTGTCTCCCAAAACATAAAGATTCTTGGCACAAAAATACAGTTAGGTCTTCACTTAATGTCATATATAGGTTCTGTGACTTTAAGTGAAATGATATATAATGAAACCAATTTAACATAGCCTAATAGATATAAACAAGAGTTAATTAAGTTCCTAGGACATCTAATCAACATTATAACAAAATGACAGTATTCAAGGACCTGCTGTATAAGATTAGGTGGAAAGTAAAGTAATCCTTACAGACAAATTTTTAAGCCCAAATTCCATATTAAATATATTGTGATGTTCTAAACTATAAAGAATAAGCAGGAGAAGGATATGTCCATAAATTATGCACATGCATGGGAATTACTTTGGGAACTGTTTAGAATGCACATTCCAAAGCCTCGAACAAAATCTACTACAGAGTATCTGGATATTAGGCCTGGGAATGAATCTGTACTTTTGATAAGCTTCTCAAGTTATTCCAGTATACACTAAGGTTTTAAGAATTTCGATCACAGACTAGATTAATAATATTATAAAAAACGGTTTCAGAGTAAAACACTTCAGGATAAAAACTTTAATACACCTACCTGTGTAGCTTTGTCCCTCATGCAAGGAGCAGCTTGCCCATGACTATCACGAGGCCAGTGCCCTGCGAGGTACGGAGCAGCAAGTGTATCCAAAGAGGAAGTGCGGCGAATAATAGTAGAAGGACTTGAGGAAGGTGGTCGTGTTTTGTCACCTAGATTTAAAGCAAATATATTTATTTTAAAAATAGATATAGGGAAGAAACAAAATAGAAACTAAGTTTTAAATTAGGTAGGAGTTTTCTAAGTTAAATATAAATAATAAAAAGGAAAAACAAGCTATTAATTCAAACAAATTTGGATAATCTCAAGGGAATTATACTGAGCAAAAACAGTCTCTCAAATGTATGATTTAATTTATGTAACATTTTTGAAATGACGAAATCTTATGAATGGAGGAAAGATTATTGGTTGCCAGGGGTTAGAGATAGGGGAGGAAAAATAAAGTGCTAGAAGAAACACAGGTGTTATAAAAGGGTAATACATAGGGACCCTTGTGATAATGAACTACTCAGTATGTATCTTGACTGAAATGGCAGATATACAAACATACAAAGAAGAGTAAACAGTAAAGAATTCCACACACATACACAAGAGTACACAAGTAAAATTGAAGAAATCTGAACAGAGCAGTGGATTATACAATATCAATAGCCTGATTGTAACATAAAATAGTTCTACAAAATGTCATCAGGAGCAGCTCGGCAAAATATCTCTGTGTATTATTTCTAACAGCAATGATCTCTATAAAAAAACAATAAGACAAATATCTATCTATTTAAAATGTGCTTATCTTGGTTTTAAAATTAAATTGGTACGATATGTAAAATACTCATTTATCATTATACCATTTAATCTCAAAAGGATATAAAGAAGTTAAGATAAAGTTAAAATTCCATTTTAATCTAGCTCTATATGACATATATGTTAGAGACATTTTGTTACAATAAATAGGTCATAAGAAACCATATTAACCAGGCTAGGAGTTAAAATTGAAGCCACATATGCAAAAATCTTTTCCAGTTCAAGCCACAGGTTATGTACTTAGATGTAAGCCAGTATATTTTATCAGTTTTTGCCCATCTATAAAACATGAAAAATACCTTTTTTTTGCATTTTAATTATTATTGAGTTCAAAAATATTCACATTTTACAACCAATTCTTATTTTTATATAGTACCAGTGTTTTAAACATATTACTCCTAATCTCTTTCCTTTATCATACAGATCTTTTCTTTTAATGAAGAAACATTTAAATTGAAGGAGGTCCCTTGGGTTTCATTTTAGCTTCCTCCTCTTTCATGAAGTTTGAGTAAAATTAAATGTAGCTGATTTTATTTTAAATACTGTGCATATGATTAAATTTTTATGAACATTTACCCGAGTGTCTAAAATTATACACACACACGCATGCACACACAGTTTCCCTCCTCACCACGCCTCTGCCTTAAAATGTTTTTGGAAATACAAAAAAACTAATGACACAGCAGCTCCAGGAAGGGGAGCCGTAAGGCTGACAGAGAGAGGTGCAAGGGAAGTATTTCACTCTCTTCCCAAATGCACCCTTTAATTTGACATGTGAACTTATTACCTGTATTTTTAAAATTCATAGTCTTTGATTCAATGATTCTGCATCTAGGTGTGTATACAGAATAATAAAATGTGGAAAAGAGCTTTAAATTCAAAGATATTCATACACTGGCAATAGTAACAATCAGAAATAACATTTACAAAATTGGAGGGTAAGGAAACTAATGAAAAATATACACTGGGATAAAGATAGTAAAATTTATGTTTTGAAATGAGAAACTTACATGAGAAATTAAATATAATTTGTTAAAGAAAACTTTAGGAAAAATATATTTCCATTATTTATTTATAATTTCATTTCTGCGATTATTTCCATGTTTCTTCCTTAGTTAATTTCTCCACTAAGTTTTCAATAAAACATTAACATATAACCTAACTAACAACTGATAAGGCTCAGTAGTACCTAATTCATAATTAATCTTAATATGAACTAAATCATTAATTTAACCAAACTGATTTCTTATAGACATGATATTCAAAAAAGAGAACTAGCCTAGAAAGTTTTAAATCCAATTAGTAATTACTCTTTTCTTAAGCATAAAGTTTAATTTACATATTAATTAAAAGAAGGCTTTGTTAGTGCATAATTTGAAGTTTTGAAGAATAAACATACTCATTCAATCACCATCAAAACCAAGATATGGAATACTGCCACGCCCTAAAACGATTCCACATACCCCTTTGAAGACAATCTTCTTCATCCTTGGACAGAGGTAAACTCTGACTTGCTTTACTTTTAGTTTTGCCATTTTAAAAAGTCATATAACTCTTTATGTAATCATATACAATGCATTGTGAGATTCATCCTTTCTGTATTAGCAGTCCATTCCTTTTTATTACTGAGAAGTAGTCTATTGTATGGAAACATGGAAAAAAATTTGTCAATATCATGAGATTAACATTTGAATCGACAGACTGAGTAAGGCAGACTGCCCTCCCCCGTATGGACAATCCTCATCCAATTCATCCAAGACCTGAGTACAGCAAAAATGACTGAGTAAGGGAAAAATTCATCCTTTCTCTGCATGACTGCTTTCAAGCTGGGACACTGGTCTTCTCCTGCCTTCAGACTCAGACTCAGACCCTCACTGGAATTTTGAACTTGGACTGGAACTATCCTGCTGATAATTCTGAGTCTCCAGCTCTCCTACTACAGATGGTGGGACTTAACCTACATAAACTGTGCTAGCCAAGGATTTTGGATTTTATCTAAAGGCAGTAAGGAGAAGCAACATAATTGCATTTGAATTTTAGAACAAATTTTTAGAGAGCAGTATAGGTGGAAAAGAAACTGAGTTAGGAAGATGTATTAAGTGGCTACTCTAATAATCCAAGTGAGCAAGGCAAATAGAATCAAGAAACAAAATATTTCAGGACAATTCAAGAGGTCAAAAGTATTGGGTCCTCTTAGAGGTGTCTATGTGTACTGTGTTCATGTTGAAGGGAGACAACAGAAATGTAACAGAGTGGATTATAAAATTTGACACTGATCCTGTTCAAATCCAACTCCAACAGCTATATTGCCACCTAGTTAAGTATTTAAATGTTCTGAATCTCTCTTACTACATTTGCAAAATAAATAGGGTTGTTGTGCGCATTAAATGAGCATATTACTGTACAAAACCTAGACAGTAAATAGCGCCTAGCATTATTATGGTTTCCCAGAGTTTCAGACTTAGGCAATGAGGATATAGTTAGTTCAGTTTCAAACCTACTGAGTTTAGTATAGCTATAGAATATTAAAATGAGACTTAATAAGCAGTTTTACATATTCATGTGTATACAAGAGTATGCTTAGAGTTCTGTGCTAGAAGGAAAAATTTAGAAGTAATCTGTGTATAAACAGGTTAAAGTCAGAAGTGCAGTTGATGAAGCATAAGGGAAAAAAAGAACCTTAGGAAGCAACATTTCAGGAATCTGCAAAGAAAAAAAGAAGTGGTAGTAGTTGGGGAAAGCAGCTGCCGCTGGATTTCTGTGAGGATTTAATTTAAAAATACACACACACACACACACACACACACACACACACACAAAATACCTAGCATGTAGAAGACACTACACTCCCTTTCAGGAGTATTTCTATAAAATCAGCATCAGAAGTCATTCTGGATATGAGAATTTAGATATCACCCTTTAAGGAAGGTTCCTTATGAAGGGAAATATAATAAAAGCTTTAAGAAATGGAGTAGAAAGGAATGACTAGCCTTTATTTATTAATTCACTTTAACGAAGGCACTAGCTACTTCTTAATACTAAATTCAAGTCCAGCCGTGGCTGGTGTGGTTCATTGGGTTGAATGCTGGCCTGTGAACTGAAAGGTGGCCAGGATGGATTCCCCGTTAGGGCACAAGCCTGGGTTGCAGGCCAGGTCCCCACCTGGGGTCATGAGAGGTAACTGATGGATGTTTCTCTTGCATATCAATGTTTCTCTCCCTTTTTCTCCCTCCCTTCCCTTCTCTCTAAAAATAAGCAAATAAAATCTTTTTTTAATAAATAAATAAACTGAAGTCCAAAACAAACAGTAAGAGGAAGTGCTTTGTGGTGAACAAGGACTTAACCTATTAGCATACAAGGCATCAGCCACCTGTTACCAAACTTCATGCTACCGTAGTTCATACATACATCATAGCTCCTTTCTGGGCCCCCAGTGTAGATTTTCACATCCCTTGCAAACAAACAAACTAAAACTAAAATAAACAGATTCATTTGCAACCAATAAACACTTGTTAATAATATCAATCTTCAAAGAGTGACAATAAGGGAATCAAACACAAAAAATAGAACTTATTTTGTTTCATATTTCAAAAGGTACTTTAGAATTTTAATACCAATCAATGCAGGCATCATGCTGTACTTGTTAACATCCACACCATTAGCTCCAACTCTCTGCCTATGAGACATAAATTTAGAACTGCCTGCCATAAATGTCTAGAGAGGTGAGCTACTAGCAGTTGTGACCTTATCACTTCTACTATCTTGTCCATTCATCTTCCTGTGTTGCCCATAACTTTCATGGCATTCATTAAACATTTTTTTCAATATTTATTATAGATGTAGGGATGAAAAAACAAAAATATCCCTACTATTGTAAAACTCATATTTCCTAATAGGGAATGTGAGACCAGCAAATAGTATGTTAAGTGCTAAAAATAGAGAAAAAGCAGGGCAAAGGAGTCAGGAAGCATGTTGTATGGGGTTGCCATTTTATGCAACAGTTAGAAAAGGACTTTTTAGTAAGGTGACATCTGAATACAGACCTTAGAACAGGTGAGAGGCCAAGAGTATCTGAGGAGTGATCCAGCTGGAGGAAGAACATGTGAAAGAGCCCAGAGATAAAAGCACCCTTGGCCTCCCCTTTCCCCTTACCCTTTTCCTCTTCTGTAATGCTACAAACCAAAAACTTAACACTCACCAAACAATACCTATCTAATCATTCCTTTCTTTCCATTCCCATTACTATTGTCCTAATTTCAGGTTTTCTCACTTCTTGCTTAGACAACTGCACCAAACTAGTCTCTGCATTCAGTTTCTCCCTCCCTCCATCCCATCCTACACTCTGCCACCA